GTGGCAGCCAGATTGCTCACTGGAGCAGCATACAGGGAGCACACAACCCTCCTGTTACGCCAGCTGCCAGTTTGCTACCGAGCACAATTCAAAGTGCTGGCTTTATCCTATAAAGCCTAAACAGTTCCTGCCCAGCTTTTCTGTCTGAATATATCTTCCTCTATGACCCACCTCAGAAGTTAGGACCATCTGGGAAGGCCCTGCTCTTGATTCCACCACCTTTGCAAGCATGATTGGTGGGGACGAGAGACAGGGCCTTCTCAGTGGTGGCCCCTCATCTATGGAATTCCCTCCCCATTGAAATCAGATCAGTTCCCTCCCTCCTGTCTTCCCAAAGAAGCTTAAGACATAGCTGTGGGACCACGCTTTCAACCACTAAATAGTGCAATAAGGATAACTTACTAATGGAATTGACAATTGGATAGGCCTTGGACTACATGATTTTAACTGATGTTTTAATAATGTTTAATCGTATGGTTTTAATTGTATTTGTTTATTTTTATATTTATATGTATTGGCATCAAATCACTGCCTGCTGCAAGGCCACCCTGAGTCCCCTTGTGTATGTGAAATAAATAATAAATAAATAAATTATACCACTGAAATGAAGAAGCTTTGGCTAACGAAGACTGGTATGTGTATGTGCTTTCGCATATAATATATAATAAATTTAAATAAATCAAAAACATATGCATGCACAAGGAGCTCTGTTCTATTCTCATACTCAAAATAAATTCCCGGGCGCCTTGAATTCTGTGCATGTCTTCTACATTCATCCCCAATGCCTTATTCATAGGATTCTAGGAAGGAGAAAAGCTGAAAGCCTGACATTTCTTTGCTCATGTTTTAACATTACTCTTGCATTTTACTCGGTGCTTTATAAAATGTGTGACTGTTTTGTTTACTTTACTATTTGCTGTATTTAAATGCATATTTCAAAGTGTTTATCTCAGATGTAGCATTTCCTAGGATTTTACTCATGCCCCAGGCAATATGATCCCCATACTAAGAGATGGGGAGATGTTTCACTATGATTTTGGGCTGGTGCAGAAAGAGCACCCATCTGTCTTTTTTCAGCTTGGCTTCTTTCAGGTGACCCCTTTAGTCAACTCTTCCAGAACAGATGTGGTTCTCTGCATGTGGCATGCTTGGTTTGAAGTATACAGGTCAATTTGTTCAAAGCTTATTGTTAGATTGCAATACTTTGTGGACATGAGAGTGAGATCTCCTGAATTATTTCCAGCCACAGAAGTGAAAGGCATTGCATGAAGCAAATGGGAGAGATAGTTTTAGTGGAAGTGTATGCTAGGACAATATATTACCACTGGAGGGAACCATCAGACTATGTTATATACATCTGCAGTTTTAGGAACTTGAATGATATGTATTCAAAGAATAACTTCATGGAAAGATATGTGGGACAAATAAAGTAATAATAAACAAAAGCAATATAAATATCATAAAACCATTCTAAGTGGCAATTTATATCCTCCGATTATTCTCAGAGAGGTGTTGGCATACAATGTATAAACAATGATGCATTTGGAGGAATAGCTGGAACATCAGCATTCAAATTTGGACTCTCCGAACTGAAGCTAATTGCATACTGTTTTCTAATGTGCATGTGATCTCAGCTATATAGGTAAAGATTTTCCCCTGACATTAAATCCAGTGGTGTCCGACTCTGGAGGATGGTGCTCATCTCCATTTCTAAGTCACCTCCAAGGTCATGTGGCCAGCATGACTGCATGGAGCTCCATTATCTTCCTACCGGAGCGGTACCTATTGATCTACTCACATTTGCATGTTTTCAAACTGCTAGGTTGGCAGAAGCTGGGGCTGACAGCGGGAGCTTGCGCTGTTCCCCGGATTTGAACCTGCAACCTTTCAGTCAACAAGTTTAGCAGATCAGTGGTTTAACCCACTGTGCCACTGGGGGCTCCAAAATTTCTCTAAAAGGAACTAAATTATATTTATTTAGTACAACACGTTTAGACTGAAGCCATCTCAGAACAGTTATAAAATAAAATGAAGTACAGTCAGGGGTGGCTCAACCCATTATGCAAAGTAAGCATTTGCAGTATAGTTGATTTTGCCCAGGGGCGCTCTTGAGGGAAAATAGACCTTGACATATACAAGTTGTAGTTACTGGGATGTATAGTTCACCTACAATCAAAGAGCATTCTGAACTCCACCAATGATGGAATTGAACCAAATTTGGCACACAGAACTCCCACAATGAATAGAAAATATATATCAGTGATTGGTTGGGCGGGGGGGTGCCAAAATACTGTTTGCTTACTGTTGAAAATTACCTAGGCCCATCTCTGAGTACAGTCAGCCCTCCACTTTTTCTAGGATTAGGGACATATGACCCCTGTGAAATTGAAAAACCACAAATGCCATTTTATTGTTTTTCTTTTTAAAGGTATGACATAATTATCAATAAATATAGGTAATTTTAAAAAATACTTTTCTTAATTTAAAGAACATCTCTAGGCCTTCCAACATAACACTGTGGTCAACTGTCTCAGGAAGGTGATAAAAGAAACACACCAGAGATCTAATGAGTTCTAGACAGAACAATATAATCAAAACATGAATAGTCAAATCTGCAAAAATCAAAACTGCAGATGTGGAAGGATGACTGTGTGTTTTGTAACAGAATAACACAGAGAATAGCGTGCTCATGAAGCTAGAAGAGTGAAGCTGTTTGCAACAAAATCCTCCAATCCAGAGCAAGTGTATCATCTTCCAGAATCACACATTAATTTTAGAGTCCGGTGGATACCTTTCGCCCCATATACTGGTGTGGGAATTATGCAGTCCTCTGGATGTTGCTAAACTGCAACAACCAGCACTGCTGGCAAGAACTGTTAAGCCATACAAATCCCACCCCTGCCAAGCATGAATCCTCCTCTGTGGCAAGGGTCTGGGCTTGTCCTGACTTGAAGATTGCAGGATTTTATAATGATAGCTGATATTCCTTAATTTATGGTATGGAAAATTCGATTGACATTCTCTGTCAGCCTATGGTTTCTGAATTCCAAATTCCAACCTTCATATACCCTGAAAAAAACATTGCCTCACATGTTTAAAATATATACAAGCATTCATAAATGGTTGACACAATTCAGTAATGCATACTTGCCTTTCTGTAAGTCTTTAGATTTACTTTAGCAGAAGAATGTTTACAATTGAAATAGTGACATGATGCATCCATCAAAATGGTGGGATCTCCTTCCATGGAAGTTTTTCAACAGAGGTTAGATGCCATCCGTTGGGATTGCTTTAATTGTGTCTTCTTGCAGGGCCCTTATGGTCTCTTCTATGTTCTGTGTTTAACTACATAAAACTCAAGTGCATAAACATCTGAATAAACAAAGCATGATACTTTACTAATTTTCTAGATCCAGACTAGTCACAGCTTTGCATGTAACATCAATCTAGAACAGAGCTTCTTAAACTATGGTTTGGGATCCCAAATGGGGTCATCTCCTTTCTATCCATGCACACATGTGCATATGTCTCTGGTTTCCCTTCCCTAATGTTCACACATTGGCCACTCTTTGGTTTACCTTCTCTTTCTCTCACTCCCTTGCACGTCTGTCGCTGTTTCGCTTCCCTCTTTTCCTCGCTTCTCTCTGCCTTCCTCTTTTACACACACAGCATGACTTTCTGCTTTCCTTTCCCTCTTTTGCATGAGCCCCTGCCTGCCTGCTTCCTTTCTCTGTCTATTATTATTATTATTATTATTATTATTATTATTATTATTATTGTGCTGTCGTGCGCTGGGCCTATGACAATGTCTGTTTACAGGACATGCTTTCTGTATGCCCAACGGGACGCCGGGGTGCCTCAGCTGAAGGGTCCCATAGGTTTCCCAACAAAAAGTTCTGTAGAGGCTCAAAATAGGTTCAACAAAGTTCTTTATTAAGGCTTAAATCTTCGAACAAATGAATTAAATGATATATAATCTTGAAAAACTGGTATCTTTCTCAATCTGCCGACAAGGGACAGGCAACTGCTTGATAAACTGTTCCTTTCCTCTTTAGGGAAACCTTCCGACCCCTCCTTGGGCAATCTTTCTTTACCCTGCTGGCATGAGGCCCCAACTCCCGGATCCAAGCTGCGTTATGGATAGCCCGAGTGGTCCCTTACCAGGCAATGGTTGCTGTAGATCTGCCAAGCTGGTGTCCTGTAGATTTGCCCCACGAAGGCCGTGGAACCATTCCTTTATTTTCCAGCAAAGCTGGCTGTATTTCCCCAGCAAAGCAGTGGAACTGTAACTTTACTCCCCAGCAAAGCTGGCTGTAGATCTATTTCTTTAACCCCAGCAAAGCTGGCTGTTGATCTATTTCTTTAACCCCAGCAAAGCTGGCTGTTGATCTATTTCTTTAACCCCAGCAAAGATGTAAGAAGTGAAGCTTTTTGCAGGTGGGACAGAGAAACCCCACATGTCCTGCTGTAAGGCTCCAAACTCTGAGACTGAACTAAAAGTCCCCTTTTCCCTCCAAACCTGGGGAAAGGGGCAGATCTAAAGGCTCTAATGATGATCTAATAATGAAATTTACTTTAGGAGAAGAATTGTTTACAATTGAAATAGGGACATGACTACAACCTGGGGAAAGCTACCCAATTGCAAAATGCATGACCCAAATAGATTCATGCAAACTAACAGTGCAAGAAAAGGAAATTCAAACTCCTGGCACTACCGTGCCAGCACAATTATTAACAGCATTTACAGTATTATTTTATACACACACACACACACACACACTTGGGATTGTGTAAACATTTCTCGGGCAAAAAGAGGTTGTGAGTCAAAAAAGCTTAAGAAGCTCTGTTCTAGAATGAGCTTTATCCGGCAGCTTCTTGGGCCTAATTTGGTATTAGTAAGTTGTTACATTTATGGCAAATCATATAATGGGTAATTGTCATCTTTTTTCCCCTCAAGTTTGTGCATCATTAATGCAGTCGCGTGTGGATAAAAAATGATTTTTTTCTATATTATGATTGTAACTGAAAATATTATAACATTGGAAATAAAAGATTTAGACATTGAATAATACATAGTATTTTAATTTCTATTAGTGGTGAATAAATAATAACCCCTTAATCTGTTGTTCCAAGGAGCTTTCTTAGTTCTGCTGCTTTTTCTTCCATTTGCTGAATATTCCACTGCCACTGCCTTCTTTTGGATTGAAGTTTATTCACTTGACAATGCAGACGTTTTAGTATAGCTTCATATCTTTTATTCTGAACCTAATACAGTATGAACAAAACAACAAAAGATGCATTAGAACATAAGTACACCACTATTTGGGTTACAAATAGGTTCTCAGATGCAGACTTGCACACAATTACTAGGTTACATGTATACAGAATAACATGCTTAAAATAGCCACACATTTTAAATTCATAACACAATCCTATTCAGAAGTAATTTGTATTTATTTCTATGTGTCTTACATTTTTATCTTGCAGCATGAAAGAGTGATAAGCATTGAACCAAAACACTGAATCATATGCTTTATAAACAAGGGATTGCATCGTTCAGGCAACACATTAAGAAGAAATTTATGATAATAATATAACAAAGGCCAGGCGTTCAACAGATATAAATGGGTGGCAGAAGCATTATAGAGAACTCTTGAGTGATACTAAATTAGCATGGGAAAATGGTCTAAATATTTCAATTCCAGAGCATAAGAGATGTCAATGGTGGTATTATTTGCCACATCATTCTACATTGGCTGTGGTAGAGCTATCTTTTATAGACTTAGTTCAATATTAGCATTTATTCTTTGTAAATTGTGTTGTAATTACAACTAATTACTCTCATTTAACGAGCACCCATGGGGATTGGTAGAGACCAGATATATTTGGTTTCTGGTTGCTTGAGAGTTACTATTAAAAATAGGCCTAATTAATATTATGCCCCATACTTTATCATACCATAAACCCGTACTGACTTCATATTAATATTGAAATGCAGTAATTAAATGTAAAAAAGACAAACTTAATGTTATACAGTTTTACTATATTATAATTTACAGCTTTGTAGATTCAGTATGCAATTTTAGTTCTTTTTGCCAGTTGCTTGAGAGTTCTGGTTGCTTGATTTCTGGTTAACTGACAGTCTGCTGTATCTCCATTACTTTGGCTAGGATGTGGGAAGTTCAGCTTTCTGGATCATTTATGAATTTGCAAAACTCCAGCGTTTTTGGCAATGTACAATACATAATAATGGCCCCCTGGTAGCACAGCAGGTTAAACTGCTGAGCTGCTGAACTTGCTGATTGAAAGGAACAGGAGCGGGGTGAGCTCCTGCTGTTAGGCCCAGCTTCTGCCAACCTAGCAGTTCGAAAACATGCAAATGTGAATAGATCAATAGGTACTGTTTCTGCGAGAAGGTAACAGTGATCTATGCAGTCATGGCAGCCACATGACCTTGGTGGTGTCTATGGACTACTCTGGCTCTTTGGCTTAGAAATGGAGATGAGCACCAACCCCCAAAGTTGGACACGACTAGACTTTTAATTTTACCAACAATGCATAATTAGTATCATCATCATCATCATCATCATCAATTAATTACTTATTAATCACCCTCCATCCAAGATGCTCTAGGCGATTTACAAGCTAAACTGTAAAGGATAAAAATACATACATACAGATATTGATAAAATTAACATAGATCAAAAGCTCTAGTAAAAGCCAGGTCTTAAGTGCTAGGGTAAAAGGCCCTAACTCACACATGGCTCTCATATAGGGCGGCAAGGAATTCCATAAGGCTGGGGCAGAAATAGAAAAAGCTCTGCGTCTGGTATTTTCCAAGTGCACTTCTCTAGGACCCGGTATATAAAGTATATAATATAACAAACCATTATTACACTGGCCAACACACATTTTGGAGCCTCAAATGTTAGCCCTGTTTCTAAGTATATTTGAACTGCTGATTCCAAAAATGACACAGGTTTTCCTCTATCCGCTCTAGCTTTTGAGATATGCCATATACCACTCTTCACTCTGCTTGGCCATAAAAAATCAGGATATTTTAATGTAGTGTTTAAATTAATGTAGTGTTTAAATTAATATCTTTTAAGCAAGAAAGACACATATTAAAAAATAAAAGACAAGTGTACTAATTATTTCATACAAAATTCTTTAAATTAATATTTAATATTATAAATTCAACCATATCTTTAAAATTAGCGCTGATGTGGTCTATCCAATGGAACCAGTGCCCCAAATAACCCTAGGAACAGGCCTTTAAAAAGACAGTAAGAAAAAAAATGTTTTTGGTTGGGCTGTGTTATCAGTATTAAAATGGAAATTTCAAATTCATTACAAAAAAAAAAAATTTTGTCGTGTCAGGAGTGACTCCTGGTGTGAGAGAATTGGCCGTCTGCAAGGACGTTGCCCAGGGGACGCCTGGATGATTTGATGTTTTTATCATCCTTGTGGGAGGCTTCTCTCATGTCCCCGCATAAGCAGCTGGAGCTGACAGAGGGAGCTCATCCGCCTCTCCCTGGATTTGAACCTGCGACCTGTCGGTCTTCAGTCCTGCTGGCACAGCATTGTTTGTTGTCAATTGCATTGTTGTCAGCAGCCACTTGAAAACTGTAACTATGTCACATTGAGCAAAATAAAATATCATTGTGTATATTTCTGGAAAAGAAGCAGGGACATACCAAGAAAACTTGGAATTTTAATTTTATATCATAATAATGGTTCAATAAATACATAAAAATGCATTAGGTTGAATATTGTTTTCTAGAATCATAGAATCAAAGAGTTGGAAGAGACCTCATGGGCCATCCAGTCCAACCCCCTGCCAAGAAGCAGGAATATTGCATTCAAATCACCCCTGACAAATGGCCATCCAGCCTCAGCTTAAAAGCTTCCAAAGAAGGAGCCTCCACCACACTCCGGGGCAGAGAGTTCCACTGCTGAACAGCTCTCACAGTCAGGAAGTTCTTCCTAATGTTCAGATGGAATCTCCTCTCTTGTAGTTTGAAGCCATTGTTCCGCGTCCTAGTCTCCAAGGAAGCAGAAAACAAGCTTGCTCCCTCCTCCCTGTGGCTTCCTCTCACATATTTATACATGGCTATCCTATCTCCTCTCAGCCTTCTCTGAACACAAGAGCCACAACAGAGCCAGAAACAGATCCTATTCCAATTACTGAAACTCACCTCGATTTCTTTTCGGAGCCTTGCATGCACATTCTTTTCATCTTGAAGTTCATTTTCTTTTTCACTGATAGCTTCCTTCATTACATTAATGTCCTCTTTCAAAGAAATCATTTCATCCTATTAGAGATAAATATATGTCATAAATAGCAATATATCCACACCGCATATAAGAGACCCAAAGAACAGGAGAAATTTCAACAATTCATTCCTGGTTATTCACTCCATTCCTGCCTGTTTGTCATTCTCATTAATAACGTCTGAAGTCCCCTATGGCTCAGGTCCAGGCTATTTGGCTGATTGCATCTTCCTGTATGAACCTGCCTGGGCCCTGAGATCCACAGAAGAGGGGCTCTTCTCTCGGTCACACTTCCATCACAAATTTGGTTGCTGGAAAGATTAGAGAGGACCTTCTTGGTGGCTGCCCCTCGACTCTTGGACTTCCCTCCCTGCTGTCCTTGCAGGCTAAAACCTTTTTATTCAGACTTTAAAGGTACAGGAGCTTGCCCCAATGTTTACCCCACCAACCCTACAATCCAAACATAGGAGACAAAGACTGCTCTCTAACATAACATACTGGCATCTACAGTCCACAATGCCCATTGTCCTATGAAGTTAGCTGGCCTTGACATTATCCACTCTTCTACTCAGCTGGCTTCCTCCATCCCAGCCATGTGTGGAGGCGTGAGCAGCAGAACAAGTCCATAGCTGTATGAGCAGCTGGCTGCCATCAAGAAGGTTTTACAGGATGATGATGATGATGATGATGATGATGATGATAATAATAATAATAATAATAATAATAATAATAATAATAATAATCTTTATTTATATACTGCTTTATCTCCCCAAGGGGACTCAGGGCGGTTTCCAAATCATAAAAACACAAGAACATACAAAGTAAGCAGAAAACATAAGCACAAAATCATCAATACAGGGTAGGTGGAAGCTGCCATTGCTCTTAGTGACCCAGTGGCTTTGAGAAGAGCAGGGCTCAACTTTGGGAGCTCATCAGACTAGAAGGGGAAGCCTATACTAGCACCTTCTTCCTGTCATGTTCAGTAACATTCTGTTTTGAAAGATGGAGAATTTACTCAGCCCATTACACCAGATGTGCCTCTGCCGTTTCTACTTAAACCATGTATTTCATTCCTCATGACACATCTATCTTCTTTTAATTTTGTGTTGTTGCTGTAACCGCACAATTTCAAACCTTTGAATTTCTGCAATTTCACAATTCTTTAAAAACTGTGACATGAGCACTCCACTGACGGCAGAATAGGAAGAGGTGGCTGTTGTCTCCTCCCATTCTGTCATCCGTGGAGTGCCCATTTCACATATTTTTCATTTGTTGTTTTTTTTTTTAAAGAGCAATTGCAAAGGTTTGAAATTGCAGTTTTAGCAACATTAAAAAAATAAAGAGGAAATCACTATTTACCAGTCCTTCCCTATGTCCAATGAGTACAGCGGCAGAAGGAGCATAAAAAGACCACCCACACTCAAGCACCAACTGAAACATCAGAAAATGACCAAATGTCCCATTTCCCATCCCACAGAAAAATGTCAATTTCTAAGTGTTTCTAATCACAAGAACACAAGTGGAGTCAGTTCCTGCCCATGTTTCAACTACACCCGTTTCAACATGCTGAAGAGATGTAGTCCCACGACCAAACCACGGAAAGGAGCATGCGTCATTTGATGGGATCTGTGGGATGTCATATTTGAAATGTATAGAAACAGAGACCACCCACCATGTTATGAGGTCCATTATGACAGCGTAGAACCATATAGAAAAATGCATTGGGAAAATAACAAAAAAGAAAAAATAAACCAATCAAGTTCTGCTCTGCATGCAAAGACTCACACATCCCTAGAAGTTATAATTTCCTAACATTTTCACCTTACAGAAAGCATTTTGTTCATTTTGAAATAAGAGAAAAGTGGTGGAGGAAATGTAGCTTATGCCCCCAAAAAAGTCTGAACCAAAGTAATTCAAGCTTGTCAACATTTTTTGGGCGAGGCTAACATTGCCCTCACACTGGTTGATCATTATTAAACCCCTAAGGACTACAGCTGACACTGACAACTTCAGAGCAGAGACAATACTAGTTCTGTGTTGTCTTTAAGTTGCCCCCCTTAAAAAAAAAACCCTTGGGTCAGCTGCAGTTATTGAGCTGGGCAGTGCACTGTAAGCATTTCTTGCCTCGGGATAAAAAGATCAAGCTGCAGCTCTGTCTGCCCTCGACAGAGAAAAAATAAACATATAATCACACAGGCATGTCTTCAGTGTAATGCTTCCATGGAGCAAATAAACTGTTTGTTGAGATGAAATTTTTGAAAAGGCAAATTATATGGACCTGAATTGGACTAGTATGCACATCTGGATACTGAAGAGCAGACATTAGCACCTCTCTGTGTGCTATCATCTCTTTGACAGTGGATCTTTTTTTAGTGAGCTCAATCATGAGTGGTAATTTGCTTTCCATCTTGTCAAAGTAGTCTTTGTGGGCAGTTATTTTCTGGTAGTAGGCATTGTTTCTTAGAAGCATAATTTGAAACTCTTCTTGTAGTGTTTCTGTGTCAAATTTCAGCTTTATATTCTCAGCACTCAGAGCAGTAATCTCAGCCTCCAGTTTTTCACAATTATGTTTTGTACTTGCTATGGCTTCGTCTTGATAATAAATTTGCCTTTCTGTTGCCTTTCTTTCGGATACAACACAATTCATTTGCATCTCAAATTCCTGAAGTTTAGTCTACAGAAAAATACAGCAAGAAAAACATCAGTATATAAGACAGTTCAAAGTTAATATTTTGGATCAAAAATCATGATTTTCCAGATGTTATTGAATGGCAACTCCCAGCGGCTCTGGCTAACACAGCCAATGTAAATAAATGCCAAGAATTACAATCCAACAGTACCTTGAGGGCTGTGTTATTTCCAATTGCTAATTCATACTCACAATACCACATTATCAATATACAGGCAGTCCCCAAGTTATGAACAAGATTCGTTCTGTAGGTTTGTTCTTAAGTTGAATTTATATGTAAGTCAGAACAGGTACATTTTTAAGTGTAACTTCAGCCATATATATATATATGTCTGTGTGTGCGTGCATGTGTGTTTTGGATAGCATAGGGATCCAACACACCTATGGTGTTTGTTTTGCTATCTGTAGCCATGTTCAGATTCCACCTCACTTTCTGTTCCTGTGATAATTGGATTTTGAAAAAAGATACTTGTAGAAACAAGGATTGGTGATAAAGTTTGAGTGAGACATCTTTTCTGCATGATAACACTTTCAGAAGTGAATTTCCCTTCCAAGGGGTAGATTTCTCCCACTTCCTGTTGTCTTACCCCATTCTTAACTATGAGTCTTTTATAAATTGGATGTTTGTAACTCTGGACTGCCTGTAATTATGGAAATAGATTATTTTTAGTTAACAAGATCCTTTCATTTTAAACATAAAAATTGTGAAAGCATCAATATGATCAAATCAATAAAATAACCTGTGCCCCTGGAAGATCACATTTATTATAGCATGATAAATGGCTTATCTTTAAAGTGAGACAAGACTCTTTGGGCTTTTTGAGTCTCAAGTATCATAGTCACACTGAATCTATGGGAATGTCCTAAGTCAATATTTTATGAAAGAATTCTGGACTCCATTAATCTACTGTACTTGGGACTAAAAACTAGATCTTTACCCTTAGGTGTTTTTGCTACAGTAAAGGAATATGGTTATCCTTCCGCAAATCACTGGATGTTAAAAGTAAAAGAACGGTAAACATTTCTTCCTGAAATATAGCATCCCAAAGCACGAAGATTAAAAAGCAAAAAAAATTAATGTGATTGGACAGTGCTAATCTTGGTGGCAGAAGTATTTTATAAAACTGTGGGAAGGATTTTGTATTTGCCTGCAAAGTAACCTTTCATGAATCGCATTGAATATTGCTTCACCACACCTCGGATTCCAAGGAACAATGCCCCAAATCACCACAATCACCTAACAATGCCCCCACACCCCTAACAATGGAGCAAACAAGAGGTCACAGAAGATGCCCAGCGCCCTTTTTTGTCGTTTTTCCTGGGAACTTGCCTCATCTGCAGCATCTATTTGGACCCCCTCTGAGAATCCTCCATTGTAAGTAACTGCACTTTTTGTCCATCAGCCAGTAATCCCTTTGTCTGGCTGGCATTGAACCACTGACCACTTATCAAACCACATTCCAGCCAGACACACCCAGTTTCTGGGAAGACAGAAAACTTCAAACTGAGCAATGACTTATTAAATTTCCCACTTTGCCTCTGGTTGGCTCAGAGGCAGAAGCAGATTCACACTTCCTCCAGTGGAGCGCCAGATCCTAGCCAGCACCTTCCAAGACCAATGGGAAGCCATCACAAAAAAATTCAATTGTACTGTACTACTCATATGTTCTCTCAGATGGGGCATGTCAGCGCTTTAAGCACTAACTCTGCCAGTGTTCTCTTTGGTCACTGAGAATTAAAGATCTCTGCTTTTTCTTCTACCCGTCTGTGTCCTGATTTGGCCTTTTGAAAGTAGCTGGGGCACTCTGGGTTTTTGAATCCACAATTTAGTTAAGCTGAGATCGCTCAACAGCTCTTCAATATGAAAGATGGTTGCATTCTAACAAAAAGTTTATTTTCCCCTTTAAAACATGGCAATATCCCCATGTTTTACTTTGTTTACTTGTTATATTCACATTTTAAAACAGTTTTGGGGGGCACAAGTTTACACATAAACAAGGCATGGTGTTTTACAAAGAAGCTTCGAAGGTGAAAATATTGTTGATTTCTCCTTTTTATGAAGTATAGCTGAAGCATTTTCTGCAGAGTCCACTGTAAACACTGCATCTTGTTGCCAAGAGATTTTTGTAAATGGGTGGCATTCGGAAATCTTTTACTGTTGCCAAATTATTGTGACCCTTGCCATTGAGCTAAGGGGACCCCATTTGGGGTCAAAACACAAAGTTTAAGTAGCCCTGCTATAGGCAATTAGCATATTTTCTAGTAATTTATAGCTTATGAAGCACCTGACATGAGATGCAATTTATCGGATATCCACTTGTTATACTATATAGGGAGTCATCTGTTCTAATGTAAGTCTTTTATTTATTTTTATTAAAGCATATTTTAAAGATTATTTGAGGTTACAATCTGTTTTAACAACTGTGGCTTGGATACTTTATCAGCTTATCATATCCAACTATCCATAATACCTTCTGTTTTACTACATGCCCTCAGATGTGCACAGTGCAAACAAAAAAAAAACCCTATATTATCCTCTAAGATTAAAAAAGCAGCCACTGTTCACATATATGGCATATAAAGGTAACACTGTTGTTTGTCTAGCTGTACTAGCATGAGTAGTTAAACTTACTGTAATGTCTGGGACATTGATATTAGTCCCCACAGTAGTGCTATGCAACCATGCTCTTTATGTATTTGTAACAAGATACCTAACTGTTCTCCTTAAGCAGCAGCAGCTGAGAGATTATCTGCATATGGAAGCACAGTCAGGAGAACATTCAAACTCAAGAGGCAGATGAATGGTGACACATATTTCCTCTCCCTTATGACTTTTCTAGATGCTGTATCCCCAGTGGGAAGGCAATGAAGTTGTCAGCTAGATGGCTTTGTGCCAGAGCGCTTTCTTAAGACGAACAGCCTACATCCCAACAGAATTCACATTTCCAATCAAAGGAGCTTCTTCCCACCAAGAAAAAGGTGAGAACTAATAATCCATTATTAGTACCACACTTGGAACTGGTCCATATTGAAACTTTCTAACAGCCAAATATGATATTTATAGCTTGGGAAGAGTGAAACCACTGGGGTTTTTTTTTAACCTGAGCAATTGGAAGATGCTCAGGTTATTTGGACATTCCGCCTGCCATCTTCTTGTTATTTGGTAGCTGATAATAGGGGGGAAATGTCTCAAGATACATTTTGGAGGAAGCTTTCAAGTGACCTCTAGAACAGTGGTTCTCCACCTGGGGTCCCCAGATGTTTTTGGCCTTCAACTCCCAGAAATCCTAACAGCTGGTAAACTGGCTGGGATTTCTGGGAGTTGTAGGCCAAAACACCTGGAGACCCACAGGTTGAGAACCACTGCTCTAGAAGGTCTGAAATGTTTTTGTTTACCATGGAAGGCTTACTTGACTTGGTGTTTCACTTCACATCTGTTTTGGATAAAATATTTGCTAAAACAGATTGAACTGCTCTCCTTTTTTGTGGCACAGAAACCAGTCCTTACTCTTTCTATGTCATTTCTTCTTCTGGTACCAAAGTTTCTGTTAAAGAAATAACAACCAGGAACATGCCTACTTAACTAACTGAGGTATACCTGCACAGGATTTTTCTGACAAGCCTTGTTTAGAAGGATTCCCTTCCTCTGAAACTGAGAGAGTGTGACATGTCCAGGTATGCTTTTTAAAATTGATACTGCAGATTGGCAAAGAGATACCGTATGATGAAACAGTATGGAACAGAGGTGTGGCATAGGCATTGAATTACCATAATATTATGGTGAAAGTTAGGGAGATTCACAAGATCCAGCTCCTGCTCCTCTCCCATCTTAGTTAATGATCTGTTTCCTTTAAGCTTTTAAAAACAATAATGTCCTGTTACAAAAAAAATAGTAAATTGCCTCCTTCTGCAGTTCCAACCCACAGAGGAAGAATACAGATTTCCTCTCTGTCGATGCTGAATGGCATTCAAATAGGACTCCTCCATGCCCTCTCCTAAAAACACCACTGTTGGAGTCCAAAAATATTCTCACCTTCAAATCAGGATGAGATCTGAAGCTGGAACTTTCTTTTGTGTAAATATGTGCTTTCAAGTCACCTACTGACTTATGGCCATGAAATGTATATAGGGTTATCTTAGGCAAGGAATACTCAGATGATTTTGAACTGTAAAGCAATTTTCTTTAAAAAGCATCCTATTACCTGCAGCCACTGAAGAGTAGTTTGACTTCTTTGTATTTCAGAGGCTTGAGTATTCTGTTGATCAGCCACTTGTTTTACAACTTCAGCTAATGATGAATTAGTTGGATTAGTAGCCATGTTGAGAAAATAAGGCTGCATTGTAGAAACAAAGAAAAGGTGAAACGCCTTTAAAATTCTAATCATAAAATATATGGTTAAGATTGGTGTTGCCTCCATAATCTTTAAGAATTCCTGGAGGAGAAAGTTGCAGCTGACTGGCAGAAGACAAATGTTGTCCCCATCTTCAAAAAGAGGGAAAGAGAATCCAAACAATTGCTGCTCAGTCAGTCTAATATCAACACCAGGAGTGTTTCTAGAACAGATTGTATAAGTCTGTAAGAACTTATAAAAATGCCATGATCACTAAAATTCAGCATGGGTTCCTCTAAAACAGATTATGCTAGACTAACCCTCACCCTTCCTCCCTCTCTCTCGGTAAAGTTTGAAGCTTAGTTGATAAAGTGGATACTATGGAGGTAGCATATCTTGATTTCAGTAAGACTTGTGATATTCTTGCAAGCAAGGTAGTGAAATGAAAGCTATCCAGTGCTATTGTTAGGTGGATTTGTAATGGGGTGGCTGACTGAACTGAAAGATTATTCACCAATGGCCTCACTTCATCCTGGATAGAAGTGACTCAGAATGTCATGGCAGAAAATCCAACATTATTTGCTTTGAACTGGAATATATGGCAGTGTGTACTCAGATATCCCAGTTCAAAGCAGATATTGTGGGATGTTCTGCCTTGATATTATAGGTTATATGGCTGAGTGGAAGGGCCCTGGATTATCTGAGTCCACACTGCCATATATTCCAGTTCAAAGCAGAAAATGTGCGATTTTATTCAGCTGTGTGGAAAGGGCCTCTGTACTTAATTAACAACTTAGTACTACTAATAAAGTACTACTTTATCAATGTCTTGGATCAGGGCTGTGGAACTCATTTTCAACAAGGGCCACATCAACCTCATCGTTGCCTTCAAAGGATCTTTAAATCCATAGACAGAAAATCCGTGGATACAGAGGGACAACTCTTTTTAAACATGCTGGTTGGTGCTATTTAGTTTTTAAACAGTTTGAGACCCTAGATGTTATTGAGCGACAACTCCCATCACTGTTAATTATTCGCCATGTGACAGATGCCATGTTTGAATTGCAGTCAAACAACACTTGTGGTTCTGAGTTTGGAGAAAAATGAAAGGGCATTTTAAGGTCAAACATCACATCCACAAGCCTTGCATCTAAATTCAAATCCTACTGCCAGACTAAAAAGAACAAACTACACCTTCCAGATGTTCCTGTATCCCAATTCCCATCATTCTAATCAGGATGTCTAATGATGAGGGATACAGGAGTTGTAGTCCAGCATCTGGATGGCCACAGAAAACAGCACAAGTGACTTAGGCTGGATCTACTCTGCTATATAATCCCGTTTCTGAATCCAGATTATCTGATTTGAACTGGATTGTATGACTCTACACTGCCATATAATCCAGTTCAAAGCAGATGATCTGGATTCAGAAATTGGATTATATGGCAGTGTAGATGGGGTCTAAAATTTTGGAATAGAGGGCAGGCTTATCAAGTTTGCCAAATTGGAAGGGTGGCTTATTATTTCCCAAAGGAGAGGTTCAGAATCCAATATGACATTAACAGATTAGAGAGCTGATCCAAAACTAACAAAATGAATTCCAGCAAAGATAAATATAAGGTCCTATACACTTAGTCCCTATCTGCACTGACCATTTAATTCAGTTCAAAGTTAGATTCAAACGGGGGCTGCCAGACAACAGGCTTCCATAAAAATGGGTGAAGGAAAGTTATATGATATGGAACAAGAGATTCAAAATGCAGGAAAATATATGCATTTTAGCAGAAAGCAATGTATATATAAATATATTATATTGATAAATATAAATACTGTAAATAAATAAATAAATAAATAAATATAAGATGCTACATTGAGCCAATCTGTATGAAATAATGGATATTATTGTTTTATTATTTCATATTTTAAACATTTCTTTCCTAAAGCTAGCCAAAAAAATTTAAAATATGTATTTTGAAAAATGTTGAGGGCCATCCCACAAAGAGAAAGTGTTTCAATTCAAAGGGCTAAAGATATTAAAATTAATTAAATACATACCTGTGGAATAAACAGAAGATATACTCCAGTAATGGATTTTTTAAAGATTTTTTTTTTCAGTAGCTTCCTTTCAGAAACAATGTTAAACCATTCTTATTTGAAGTCTGTCACAATCTTGATGACAACAGCATTTGTGAATTCCTTATAAAATATCTTTTCTGTGTGGGAGTAATAATACCTGGAAAAGATTTGTGTAAAACAGTTTGCCATTACAAATGGACTGTCAAGATGAACATGCTAATTTTGTCTAATTATGGACGGGTTTTTGAGATAAAACAATTAAAACAAAGCCAGTCCCACATAAAAGAGTTGACCCATGCTTTTATGATTAGAGATGAAAACTACATAGCAATTATCGGAGAGGCACAAAATGTCGTCTTGATAAAAGTCCAGAAATCATAATATTGTCAAGAAGGCTATTTACTTTTGTGAGAGAGCCAGCCAGACTAATGCGTCTGGAGACTTCAAGGAGATGCTTTTACTTAATTGGGTTTTTTAAAATGGATTCTTCTTTTATATTATTGCAACCTCTAAAGCAGGCCTGGGCAAACTTCAGCCCTCCAGGTGTTTTAGGCTTCAACTCCCACCATTGCTAACAGCCTCAGGCTCTTTCCTTTTCTCCCCCTCAGTCGCTTAAGCAGAATAGGAAAGAAGAAAGAAGGACCTAAGACTGTTAGGAATTGTGGGAGTTGAAGTCCAAAACACCTTAAAGGGACCAAGTTTGCCCAAGCCTGCTCTAAAATGAGAGAAGTGAAAACAGCCATAGCAGTCAATTGAGGCCTACGCTATTTAGGAGGCCATTTTTGCCCCTCAAAGACTGTGGGTTCTTTTTGGTTGGGTCTCAAGCTTCAATCCATATCTAGTCATTCTTTGCATATATAATATGATATATACTCTCTCTCTCTCTCTCTCTCTCTCTCTCTCTATATATATATATATATATATATATATATATATATTCTATATAAATAAAAATGTAATGTTTGTTTGTGGGATTAACATAACTCAAAAACCACTGGACGAATTGACACCAAATTTGGACAGGCCAACGAGTGACCATCACTCATAAAAAAACTGAAAAACACAGCAGAAGAGACTTAAAAACCAAAAAAACCAAAATTACATTCAATGCGCTGGGCCACAGCAACCCATGGCAGGGGATGGCGCATCTATCAATCAATCTATCTATCTATTAAAATTATCTGTGCATAATGAGTACCTTAAAAACAAAAGAACCAATAAACGAAATCACACCGAATTTTGCAACAAAACGTCTCACAACACAAGAAATCACAAATCAAGCGACAACTTTTTTATCCTCCAGCACTTCCGGTTAAGATTGGCTTCTGTAGATTAATAAACGAACCGCTTAAATTTTTTAAACATGCAAACTATGTTCAATGTTTTAAAGGCAGCATAATGATCTCTGTGTGATGCAGCAGAGGGAGCCAGAGAACAAGGCTAATCAGATGGGACTTCCTTATTCAGACAGGTGAGCCTTATCTTCAGGTCATTATTCTGAGGTAACCTTTCCCATTATGTTTGCTGTTTATCGCCTCATTAGGGCTTCATGTCCACACCTGGCTTGTCAGGAAATAGGCCTCGCCGAACTCGGAATTTCCCTGCCAGACTTTCCAAGTAAACATGTTTGGATCACACAGCTGGCAGGATTTCATGTCCTATCGTGCATGCATCTTTGCACTAGCAGGCACATTTTCACAATATCTGAGGATTTCCAAAATGGCATGACTCATTACGAATCTGACAAAGCCATTGAAAAAGACAATAAAGCAGACACAGGCAAACTTTGGCCCTCCAAAACACCAGGAGGGCCAAAGTTTGCCCATGCCTCCGATAAAGGGTCAGGAATCAGCACATTCCCATTCTAGTCTAGTATGAACGTAATCAGAATGCTGATTTGCATATGACATGATTAATATCCACGTAGTATCTGTACTGTACCACACTAATGTTAATCATATTTCCTTTGTATAAATCAGCAAGGTACCAGATCATGTCAGATCTTGGACACTAAGCAGAGTCTCCCCCGGTGAGTATTCAGATGGGATACCACCAATAAATACCAGATGCCACAGGTTGTATTTTAGAGGAAGGTTCAGGCAAAATCAGCGATGGGCCTAAGAAAACTCTATGAAATTCACAAGGTCACCACAATTCAATAGGCAAGTTGAAAACACACAGATTGAATCTTATACATCATGAGTGCCAAATATTATTTTTCTTTCATTTAAGACTACACTTACTTACTTAGGCGATCCCTCATAGTCCAAGGATGATGGTCCTCCAAGTGTAGTATCCTGGTGGTGCATCCGTAGGTGACTGTGGAGCCCTATTCTTGACCTGCATGTTCTCCCGCAGTAAGGCCATCGGTTTCCAGACTGTAGGTGGTCCTGGTCAGGGTTGGCTTGATGTGCCTTCCTCTTGGCACATTTCTCTCTTTCACCCTCCATTTGTGCTTCTTCAAATTCTACAGCACTGCTGGTCACAGCTGACCTCCAGCTAGAGCGCTCAAGGGCCAGGGCTTCCCAGTTCTCAGTGTCTATGACACAGTTTTTAAGGTTGGCTTTGAGCCCATCTTTAAATCTCTTTTCCTGTCCTCCAACATCCTGTTTTCCACTCTCGAGTTCGGAGTAGAGCAACTGCTTTGGGAGACGGTGGTCAGGCATCCAGACAACGTTGCCGGTCCAGCAGAGTTGATGGCGGAGGACCATCGCTTTAGTGCTGGTAGTCTTTGCTTCTTCCAGCATGCTGACATTTGTCTGCCTGTCTTCCCAGGAGATTTGCAGGATTTTTCAGAAGCAATGCTGATGGAATCATTCCAGAAGTTGCATGTGACGTCTGTAGATAGTCCACGTTTCGTAGGCATATAGCAGGGTTGGGAGGACAATAGCTTTATAAACAAGCACCTTGGTATCCCTATGGATGTCCCAATCCTCAAACACTGTGCTTCACTCGCAGAGCTCAGGCGGTGTTGTATTTTGATGTCAATGTTGACTTTTGTGGAGAGGTGGCTGTCAAGGTAGCGGAAATGGTCAACATTTTCTAATGTTACACCATTAAGTTGTATTTCTGGCATTGGAGAGGGATTGTCTGGTGACTGCTAGAAGAGCACTTTGGTTTTCTTGATGGTCAATGACAAGCCGAGCTTCTGCGAAGGTATTTAGAGTGGCTTGTAGGTCTTCTTCTGAATGCCCATAGACGACATAGTCATCAGCATATTGGAGTTCTGCAACTTAAGACTACAACTCTAAATACCACAGTGTTCCTTTAGTTGAGGGCGCTTCTGCACTGACTATAAAATGCAGTTCATTATATGGCGGCCCCAAAACACACACCACCAATGCACACTGCAGTGTGCATCTAATGGTATACCATGCATCTAAAAAAAATCCCAAGAAAGTCCAAGCAGATGCCAGTGTGTCTCAGATCCAGTGTAGATGGGACTCTGAATAAAGATGTTGATGACATGCTGTCAAGGGGTGCACCCACACTGTAGAATTAATGCATTTTGATGCCGCTTTAACTGCACCAAATCCTAGGATGTGTAGTTTGGTGAAACACTAGCACTCTTTGGCAGAGAAGGCAGAAGACCCCATAAAACTACAATTCCAACGGTCCAATAGCTTTGAGCCGTGGCAGTTAAAGTGGAAATTTCGGATCCAGTTTGAGACCCGGATGGTGATGACACAAACCACAAAGCACTGGTATATGTTAAGGGTTTCCTTTTTTACCCTTTTGTGGGAGTTTGGACTTGTCTGCTTGCCACAGTTTGGAGTGCATAAAACAGCCAGTTCAGTAAGGCAAGTGATGGCAGGGTGACACTGGGAGCATCCATGTTTAGCCTGAAGAAGAGAAGGCTGAGAGGGGATATGATAGCCATGTATAAATACGTGAGAGGAAGCCACAGGGAGGAGGGAGCAAGCTTGTTTTCTGCTTCCCTGGAGACTATGACGCGGAACAATGGCTTCAAACTACAAGAGAGGAGATTCCATCTGAACATGAGGAAGAACTTCCTGACTGTGAGAGCCGTTCAGCAGTGGAACTCTCTGCCCCGGAGTGTGGTGGAGGCTCCTTCTTTGGAAGCTTTTAAATAGAGGCTGGATGACCATCTGTCAGGGGTGATTTGAATGCAATATTCCTGCTTCTTGGCAGGGGGTTGGACTGGATGGCCCATGAGGTCTCTTCCAACTCTATGATTCTATGATTCTATGATCCACACTGTAGAAGGAGTTGAACATCACTTTAACTGCAACAAGGGCAATTCCCTGATCAGATACACAGTGTAAGACACCTGGCAAGCCAAAAGAAACAATAAAAAGCCGCACCTGTCTTAAAAAGAGAAGGGAATATGCTCCCTCCCATAGACATGTGTAAGTGTTTGGAAATAATTTAAAAAGAGTGTACTCCTGACAGTGTAGTGCTCCGCCCTTTGCTGCCACGTGTTTCCTTTCAGGGAGAGAAGGGGAAAAGAGGTCAGGGCTCCCTTCCTGTATAGGAGCCCGGAGATGGAAGGGGGGAAGGGAAAAGGGAAGAGCCACCCTGCTGCACAACCCTGGAATTCCCCTATCTAAGTCCCGGCTGGCTGGCTCCTGTTGCAACAGAGGCACTTAGGGCTGCCCCAGCCTGCCTTTTCTTTCCTGCTCAAATGGGATCTGCAAAGGAGAGAAAAGGAAGAAAAGTCTCCAGTGCAGAAGAGCTCTGTAACTGAGTGAGTACAGTTCTTTAATAGTAGGGTCACAGATATTCAGCATTAGAACTACTCTCTTGATGATGATAATGATTGTAATAATAATAATAATAGGTTACAAATTTCTGAACAGAAATTTATTCCTTTCATATTTTTTCTGCTTTTGCATTTGGCAGTGTGGACTCAGATAACCCAGTTCAAAGCAGATATTGTGGGATTTTCTGCCTTGATATTCTGGAATATAGGGCTGTGTGGAAGGGCCCTGAGTTGAGATAAATGGCTAATTTCCTACCATTATAGTGCTGGACAAATCCATGGGCCATCCAATCTGAATCCAACTTCTGGCCATGCAGGAAACCACAGTCTAAGGACCCCAAACAGGTTGCTGTTCAGCCTCAGTTTAAAAGCTTCCAAGGAAGGAGCTTCAATCGCATTTGGAAGCAGTGAGTTCCACTGCTGAACAGCGCTTACAGTCAGGAAGTTCTTCCTAATGTTCAGATGGAATCTCCTTTCCTTTCATTTGAGCCCATTGCTCGAGTCCTAGGTCCCTTCCACACAGCTTAACAAAATCCAACATTTTCTGCTTTGAATTGGAATATTTAGCAGTGTGGACTCAGATATTGTGGGATTTTCTGCCTTGATATTCTGGGTTATATGGCTGTGTGGAAGGGCCCCTAGTCTCCAGGGCAGCAGAACACAAATCTGTGCCTTCTTCCTTATGACATCCTTTCACATATTTAAACATGGCTGTCATGTCCTACTTCACCTTCTCTTCTACAGGCAAAAGAGATGGCATAAGGTATTGCAGGTAAGACTCCACTTAATCAGATACACAAAAGTTAATGCAATAAATAGGCTAGTTTTTGTCTTTGCTGTAACAACTGGAAGTTTGTGCATTTAATTCAGAGTATCGATGTGACAAGAAGAAAATCAGCACTTTTGAAATGTAGTAATGGAGGAAAACTTTATTGAAATGTTAAACTTCCAAAAAAAAGGCAAATGAATGGGTTTTACAGCAGTGCTTCTTGAACATTTCCCTCTTGCAACCCCTTTCCACTTGAGAAATTTTAATGTGACCCCAGGTATATAGATATTTAATATAAGTATAAAATCAAACATTAATTATAATCAGCATTTACAAAGCTGACTTCCTTTTTTGTGGAGTAGAGCTAAAGCATTTTCTGCAGCATCTACTGTAAACCCAGTATGTTGTTGCTCATGGGGTTTACGTAAATGAGTGATGTTCAGAAACCTTTTACTGTTGCCAAATTAAACATGATTGAACAGAATATATTATACATATCATGAAGCCATTGATTGGGAAAACAATATCACTTGATAAAGTGGGTGGCAATAGGACAAGAAGCAGATCACACTCCAGATGAATTAATACAGCCAAGGAAGCCAGGAGCCTTGGCTTACAAAACCAGAGCAGGGCAGGCAACAGTCAGAGTTCTTGGAGGTTTTTCAGTCATAGAGTTACCTTAAGTCAAAGTTGACTTGATGGCAAATAACAAAGAAAGGTAATACAGTAGATCTGATTGAAGCTGCAGTCCTAGGGCCCTTTCACACAGCTCTGTATCCCAGAATATCAAGGCAGAAAATCCCACATTCAGATAACCCAGTTCAAAGCAGATATTGTGGAATTTTCTGCCTTGACGTTCTGGGCTATAGGGCTGTGTGGAAGGGTTCCTAGTGTTGTTTTGTAGCCTGGTTTTGAACATTAATTTGTCGGGAATTAATTCCACTGAGGCCTCTTCCACACAACTGAATAAAATTCCACAAAATCTGCTTTGAACTGGGTCATAACCCATAACAAAGTTGGAAACAGATATTCTGGGTTATTCTGCCTTGATATTCTAGGTTATATGGCTGTGTAGAAGGGCCATGAGTTTGAGAAACATGCATGTCATGAGCAGATCATATAACTTCATAGCTGCAAGTAAGTTCCACTGAATTCAGTATAATACATTTGCATGCAAAGGATTTAGCTGGAGAAAAATTAAAACGCTCCATATTAGAAACTATTTAATCCAATAGGGTTTCAGTAATATCTTATTCAGAATGACATAGGGCCCATCCACACAGCCATATAACCCAGAATATCAAAGCAGAAAATCCCACAATATCTGCTTTGAACTGGGTTATCTGAGTCCACACTGTCATATATTCCAGTCCAAAGTGGAAAATGTTGGATTTTATTCAGCTGTGTGGAAGGGCCCTAAATGTAAACAATATTCAGTTTCAGTGCAACCCTCTTTTGATATTTTTTTAGGATACAGTTCTCAAGCACTGGTTCTCAAGATATTCTACTTCCAGAATTTCTGGGCCTTGACCTTGCTGGCTGGGAGCTGAAGTGTCGTTTTGGAGGACACAGTTTGAGAACTCACTGCTTTGGGATCTATCTCAGAGGTCCCCAAACTTTTTACGTCAAGGGCCGGTTCACAGTCACTCAGACTGTTGGAGGGGCGGACTATAGTTTGGAAAAAAATGAACGACTTCCTATGCATACTGCAGATATCTTATTTGTAGTGCAAACAAATATGAAAGAACAATACAATATTTAACATGAAGAACAATATTAACCAATATAAACTTACCAGTATTTCAATAGGAAGTGTGGGCCTGGTTTTGGCTAATGAGATAATCAAGTTAATTAGGATTGTTATGTGCCTTCAAGTTGTTCCAGACTTAGGAAACCCTAAGTCTAAAGTTTGGGGGGGGGCAGGTAAATGACCTTGGAGGGGCCTTAATTTGGGGACCTCTGGTCTATCTCATGTTGGATTTTAGTTTTCTTTTTCCTTGGTGTCAGGACTTTTGTCTCATTAGCATATCATTCACTCACATTTCCTGGGTTTCTTTCCCTTGTAAGTTTACAAATCACCTAAGTGCTTATTATCAAGTAATGGAAGAAGTTCTAAAGGCAAGCCTATATTGTGATCTTTATGACTCATGCCTCTACTTTCCCATGGTTCACCTTCACACCATATACATAGAAATAACCTCTGTTATTTCTAGTCAAACCAGTTTAGCAGATTTTCAAATCGTATAAAACATGATCAGAAGGGGGGGGGGAGTTTACATGCACCCCATAAACTGTGATCTGTTTTTCAAGCTCCCTTTGACTTATAAAAATAAAGCTCTCCTGCTACTTCAGGTCATGCACAAAATGAGTTTTGCTTTTGTGCATGACCTAAATATGACCTAAACATTCCAGGTATTTAGGGAATAATTTGGGCTCTTGGTACCCTCTGAGATTTGGATCCAAGATTCCACCCAACCATTCTGGATGATAGTCCCCCTTATATACATGGATGATAAGAGTCCCTTATATACAGCTATGCTTTTTAAGTAAATGCAAAGATTACTGTTGTGAGTGGTTGAATCTGTGGGTAGCGAATTCATGGATCTGGTGGACTTTTTCTTTGTTTTATGTCACTAGCATTGCATATAAAGCAATGCTTTTGTGTTGGAAAGATGAGCCATTTACAAGAAACGTCCAGGAGACGCCCAAGTGTATTTACTCAGTTTTTGAGGAGGTTCTTTCCGTGTCCCCCATCTAGTGGGCTGATTGTCTCTCTGTCTGCTGCTACAGTGATATTGTCATGCCCCTATGTTAAATAAAGCTATGCTCAAACCCTACTTATGTGAGCTGTTAAAAGCATACAAAACTGTCCTTAATTTTTAGCAGAAAGACTGGATATCATTACATATATCACAGAGGGAGCACATTTTATTTCAAACAAACCTGAAGTGCTGCAAGTATTAGAAAAATAACTTATTTTAAAGGGAATTGAGATTTTAATACTTGAACATGATATTCACATACTTTCCAAGTGAATTTGGCTATTTTAGTTAACAAGTTATACTATTTCCTAAGAGAACAAGAGAGAGCCTTCAGGGTGATTGTCAACTTATGCTGAGCTCATACATTTCAAGCAGTTTTCGTCAGAGGTGGTTTTGCCAGTTCCTTCCTCTGAAATATAGCCTGATATTTCTTGGTGGCCTCCTATTGACACTGACACTGCATAGCTTCCAGTATCAGACAAGATCTGGTTATTTTAAGTTATTTAGAAGTACAGCACAGTTTAAATGTTTCTGTTACTTACATTGAGAATCCTCTTCATATTTCATGCAGTAAGTCTGAGGTTCATGTGCTGTAACTAAGAATGTGGCCTTATTCATCTTAGGAAACAGACCCATGGGTTCATTAGGGCTCAGTGTTAAGTGAATACAGGTTTCCAGCCAAAGCAATGAAACTGGCCTATTCCTTGGGATTCAAATTCCCCTATTCATCCACATCCTCTAATGCAGTAGTTTTCAACCTGTTGGTCCCCAGATATTTTGGCCTTCAACTCCCAGAAATTCTAACAGCTGGTAATCTGGCCGGGATTTTTGGGAGTTGTAGGTCAAAACACCTGGGGACCCACAGATTGAGAATCACTGCTCTAATGAAATAGACAGAGCTTAAAACACATGGGAATGTATATACTGTGTTCTATAATGAATTTACTGTGTTTGTTTGTGCTGGTACAGCTGTACCAGGAGCTCCAATTCTGTTTGCTTTGCATTAAATGTTTGTTTGCAATCCCAGGCTTGGGATTTTGCAGCAGGGTGGCTTCCTGTTATAGTTTGCAATCATAGGGCAAGACACCTGTCAATTATAGTTAGGTTCCCTGGTCCCGCCCCTTTTTGAGTTTTAGTGGGAATAGGAGCCATTTTGAGTTCAGTCTACACAGAGCAGCTTTCGCACAGGACATAAAACGTAGAGCTCCTGTAGAAAGCTTCGTCTTCTACGGCTTGGCCAGGGAGATATACAGCCTACAGCCTGGCTGGGGAGAAAAGGCACCACAGCTTGGCTGAGGATTTTACAGCCTTACAGCTCCTTTTGCTGAGGGACTTCAGCCAGCCATCACTGAAACCTGAACTCCTTCTTTTCCCCGGGAAGTCTACAAAGCTCTGCTTGGCAAGGGTCGCTCGCGGAAGCCAGACGCAGTTGGTGCAGGGGCTCCACGCCAACA